GCCGGCCTTTTAGAAAGGTGTAAGCTCTTTTCTTGAAGGTTCCTAAGTCATATCGGTTCGGAAAATTCGCTGGTGGTAATTGATTCCACAAAGAAGTTGTGCGAGGGAGAAAAGTTCTTCTAAATCGCACAGTGGTGGACCGCCAATCATCCAGTTTGTACGGATGGTAACGCGAGTTTTGTCGCGACGTGCGATGGTGAAATTGAGCGGCTGGAATTAGTCCGAACAATTCCTCAGAGCACTCCCCGTGATAGATGCGATAAAATACGTAAAGAGATGCAACATCTCTACGCAGTGCCAGTGTATCGAGCTGATCGAAAAGAACTTGGTCGTCGACGATTCGAATCGCTCTGCGCTGGATGCGGTCAAGTGGAAGGAGCTGGCACTGGGGTGCCTCGGCCCAGAGATGAGAACAGTATTCCATGTGGGGCCGAACTTGCGCTTTGTAAAGTTGCAAGCGATATACCGGCATGAAATACTGTCTCGCTCTGCTGAGCACGCCAAGCTTTTTAGAGGCCAATTTGGCCTTCCCTTCCAAGTGACCACGAAACTGCACGCTATTCGATATGTCGACGCCAAGGATTCCGATACTGGCTGAGGCAGCAAGGGGAGTGCCTTGAAACTGAGGAGATACGACAAAGGGGTTCTTTTTAGCGGTAAACGCGCAAACTTGTGTCTTCTGGGGATTGAACTGGACTAGATTTAGTCGGCCCCAATCCGAGACTTTGTTAAGCAAAGACTCGACTTCAGACACAAGTTTGTCCCGGTACTCTGCGACGTTTTCCCGAGAAATATTGGCACGGCCGGTATATAAGGCATCCCCAGTGCTGTCGTCTGCATAGCAATGAATGCTACCAGTTAGCAACATATCATTGATATGCAGGAGAAACAGCGTTGGTGATAGCACGCAGCCTTGTGGAAAACCAGCATTGATAGGCTTGTAATCAGAGCAAGCACCGTCTACTACGACCTTGATGCCCCGATCAGCAAGGAAACTGGTGATCCATTTGCACAATTTCTCGGGAAGCCCATAGGAAGGAAGCTTCGAAAGAAGCGCCTTGTGCCAGACCCGATCGAAAGCCTTCGCTATGTCCAAACTAACGGCCAATGCCTCCCCCTTGGACTCTACTGCCTCCTTTTGTACGAAATGCCTTTTGTACGCCTATGATCAAGTCATATTTGCATCATCGGCGGCCGTGTTGCAAATGATGGTTAATTTAATGAACTGGTCATTAAAAGAAAGGGGTATGAATGTGAACGCAAGTAAGACGAAAGCGATGGTTTTTGAAAGAGAAGAAAGTAAAACGTTATGTGAAATAAGAACAGAAGGGGAGTTGATTGAGCAAGTGGATGAGTTTGTATATTTGGGATGTTTATTTAGCAGGGATGGTAGATATAACAAGGATATAGAACGACGAGTGAACGCAGGAAATAGAGTTAATGGGGCTCTACACGCTATTATGAAGAGTCAGAATGTGTCAAAGAAGGCACGTATGGCAATTTATAATGGTGTGTTAGTCCCTACTTTAATGTATGGTAGTGGAAGTTGAAGTTGAAGCATGAGAGTAGAATAAAGGCTGTAGAAATGCGGTCATTACGTAGTATGCTAGGGCTGAATCTGAATGACAGGGTGAGAAATAGTGTGATAAGAGAAATGTGTGGTTTGGAAGATAACGTTGTTACTAGGATTAAAAAGATTTATGTTTCAGAAGTGAACGGCAAAGTCAGGAAGGGACTCCCTAGACGAAGATTTATCGACCAAATCGGCAATACATTGAAAATGGGCCAGATTAGGAGTACCCTTAACTGACGAGCGTGTATGCGTAAATATATGGATGTAAAGGAGGCGAGAGAAGTGTATCAGGATCGCGCCACATGGAAGTCCGTAGTCTCTGCCGACAGGCGTGAGTGTTTGTATTGTATTGTATTGTAAGGATGTTAATACCTTAAACACTAGGAACAAACATAAGCTTGTAATGCCAGTTACCAGACTCCACAGAATTAGTAATTCATTTTTGGGGCAATATATACACTTTTACAACAAAATCCCAGAACATGTTCAAATTTTGTCAATAAACAAGTTTAAAAGTTTTATTAAAGAAAAACTGTACAAAAAGGGTTATTATAATATCAAGGAATACATGAATGAAAATAACCCCTAGGAATAAGGTGATCGCCACCATACTGGTTTTATGAAAATTCATTTAAAATTGCATAAACAAAATTATTGTTAAGTGAAATTGTGTTTAAAAAAAGTCCCGCTGGGTTCCTTGCTGGTTCTTCCCAGGACAGAGGTATTTTCCGAACCAGTGGTAAATTTATTAATTTATTTCTACCTCTGTCTTTACAGGCGTTCCTAATACGACAGTGTAGGCACATAAAAACTATCTAATTTAATAAGGACAGAACACAACTTATCTACTATTATAACACAATACATATAATGTCACTTTTGTGAATTCACCCAAGGAACAGCAGAATAAATCTATACCCTGAGCTACTTTATTTAGAGTGTGCAGCACTCGGGTCAGTGGGGCTTCCTTTAGAAGGTTGGTGCGTGCGCGCGGTACCGCGAACAACGGCGGCCGCTTCCGGCGCCACACGTACCTGTCCGGCACACACAACTTAGCTATTTGCAATATCGCTTCGTTATATACTTTTCCACGCAGCAATTTAAATATATATGTTGCCAAACTTAACTCACTCCTAACCTCCAGTTTGTTATACCCTACCATTGCTAGAACAAATAATGTTGGGTACATTAATGGGTAGAACGGATACACTCCATATAATTTTAATAAAGAAATCGAATAAACTTGTTTTGTATCCATTCCACCATCAATTGGTACTTAGCTTCGTGCGGGTTCCATATAAAGCCATTACACTCTAGGTGACTTTTCACTAGTGCTTCATACAAGGCCCAGACCGCCCCGATATTTGTAAATTCCCGCGACTGACGCAACACAAATCCTAAATTTCTATACGCCTTCTTGCAAATCTCATGAATGTGGTCCCTAAAATTGAGTTTTGAAGTAACGTAAATACCAAGATCTTTTACATTTGTTACCCGCTGCAAGGCTACTCCGTCTAAATTATATTTGTATGTGTGAGGCTGACGTGAATGTGTGAACGACATGACTGAGCATTTGGAAGTGTTAAAACATAACTTATTCCTATGACTCCATTGTACTACTCTGTCAACGTCCGCCTGTAGTTTGTCACAGTCAGCTGAGTCCTTAACTATTGACACCAATTTTAGGTCATCCGCAAATAGAAGACATGTTGATTGCCATACAACATCTGGTAAATTATTAATCATTAGGACAAATTTCAGGGGACCTAAATTACTATCTTGACTCACTCCTAACCTGGTAAGGTATGGTTTTGACAGTTGACCAGCCCAGTCTACAAATTGGCTCCTGTTTCTCATGTAACTGGCGAAAAATGACAAAGTTTTCGGCGTACAACCCACCTGCGCCAGTTTCATGATGTAATGCCAAACACGGCGTCAACCTGCAGAACGCAACCGCGAGGGGAGCGTGAGTGGCAACACACTCCGGATCAGACAATGGTCCGAAGAGCCGAGAGGGACATCGACAGAAACCTGATATCCGTCCGGATGAGAGGTCAGCAGAAGATCCAACAGGGAAGGTTTATGATCCTCCACATCTGGAATCCGCGTAGGCGAAGTAACCAGTTGTGTCAGACCATATGCCAAGGCAAAGTCATAAACAGATCCGAGGCACAAAGGAGTGCTCCAATTTGTACCCCGGGTAGGAAAGATACGAAGTATAAGCCGCAGAGGATACCTGCGTCTCGGTCAAAAAGAGCAAGGCCGGCTTCGCCCTCTCGAGATGGTAGTGGACGGCGTTTAGGTTCGAGTGAAGTCCCCAGATGTTGCAGAAAGTCACGGATAGCGTGACAGGGGTCGCTTTGGTATTGTTGCTCAGTTTGCGCCAAGCAGTTATTGTTATGAGCGGTATTTTGCCCCCCCCCCCCCCCAGAATACGCGGGGCAGCCTGAGCACCCACGCTTACAAGTGGAATAACAAGGTCGTGAATGCTCAGCGAGTGAATCTCCAGGGGTGCTGGTACCCTTCTGAGGTAGTCTTTCATGTAATTCCGCTACCATATTGACGGGGGGGATTGGATTCGAATCCCTCACGAAACAAGTATGGCTTACAAATAATTGTTCCGGGTCTGGATGTTTGTCCTTGTGCAATTTAATAACATATTGATTTATTTGTAAATGCTTTCAAGCTATACCTGCACTATGTTTACATGTTTAGAAACTACCTATTACATAATATAAGATTATTATAATAATTTGAGTGACTTTTTTCATACCATCTCATGAAAGGTAATTCGTATATAAAGAAAAAAGGAATACAAGATATACTAAACTCATAGGACATATTTAATAATTAAATTGATTATGATCATTAAATTGCCTGTTTTTGATTATGAAATTAAATCCTATATATAATTAGGGTGTGAATTTATTAACTAGAGTTCTTACTACTACTAGAGCTAAGAATAATAGACTTAGAGTAAAAATAAGCAGTTGCTACGTATACTCTAAAATATATCTTATTTACTGTGAGATATACAATATGTAACAAAACCCTGTGGTTCCCGTTAAGTACGTTATAGAAATAACGTTTTTTTAGAAACACGAATAATATTTTTTTTATTTTTGAAAAAAAAAATAATTGTATGCAAATTGTTGGAGGTTTTATTATCTCTGCTTTGTCTGGGGAGTAAGGGGATTGTCAAAGACCCCGCTTTACTTAGCTTTAGCATCGGCTAGTGTCAGTAAGAGGTAATAAAACCACATAAAAAAAATTAAAAAAATATGATCGAGTTTTTAAAAAAACAGTTATTTGTTTAGGTTTGAATATTGATCCTGATAACGTACTTAATGGGAAACACAGGGTTTTTGTTACATGTTGTATACTTACATTTTAAATATAGCTTGTTTACTGTGAGATATATACTTACATTTAAATCATCAACATCAATGCAAGTAATGTAGTCCATCCAGGGTGTGCTGGTATTGGGATGAACCAACCATGTGCCATTTTCAGTACATCTGAAAGTAGAAAAATTATTTAACTTCTTCGAATATATAAACCATGAGTTAACATGATTAAAAGATAAGAAAATAAACTAACCAGTGTGTGAATTCAGAACTAAATAATATATAATGTTTTCAATAAGAAATGTTACGGTGGAAATTGTATTTTATCTGGGGGCACAGCAATGCCCCCGCCAAGTTGAGCAAAAAAGCAGCACGGCCGTACCATCCTTTTCTCGAAACAGTACAGGCCATTGTCGGCCCCCTATAACGTCGTTGTGCATAAAACTAGAAGCCTGAATTTTTAGTAAGCTAGCATGTATTGTATGAACACGGTATATGTCAAATTATATTCAATTTGAACCAGTAGTTTAAGAATTATAACTAATCAAAGTTTCTTAATTTTGTCACTCACTGACTGCCCGATCATCAAAACTCTAAGGCACTTCTAGCAGACATAGAATCTTCAAATTTAGAAGACAAATAGTATTTAGTGTATTGATAAAGAAAAATTAAAAAATTTTGTAATTTCGGTCCAGTTTTCCAGATACATTAACTGCATAAATAACTTTGTAATCCTATATGAATATATAGGATTACAAAGTTACATTTGCAGTGAATGGATCAGTGTACCTGTAGATGTATAATATAATGGAATAATAGATGTAGATAGGTACCTAGATATAATTATGTTCAAAGATAACTTCTAAAATAGTCAACGGAATGAAAACGCAAGAATGGGACATGTCTTATGAAGTTGTACCAAAATACCGCAAAGTATTAAGTAGACTAAATTGCCCAAAAAATCCGTAGATGTTAGGTAAATGGTATCGGAAAGGAAAAAAAGTAGCACTATCTACAAAAAGAAATGAGATGCCAACAAAAACATAACTTGTAAAAAAAAAAGTCTTGCGACTCAGTTTTTCCACCGTAAAAAAGTTGTGAGATCCATGTAATACCAAGTCGGTTAATTTATTCAGTCCCCACTTAAGGGTCCTTCTGTCTTTAGTTATTACGTAATTAGCTAATCTAACAACATGTTATAGTGACCATATCAATATTAAACATCTTTTATGTTTTAAATACATAGATTGACTTGGCAATCGCACTAAACAATCTAATTAAATATAATATGTATTACTTGTGAGATACATTGTGTTTTCATGCGATGACTAAGTCATTTTAAGTCAATATTGCAAAGCATAGTATATATTATATACTCGTAGAATATATAATAAAAGGCATTTACGCAAATAAAATAGCCTTGGTAGCTCAGATGGTTTGCGCTCGCTGTAAGCTTCACAGTACTCGAGCAACCCGGGTTCGATCCCCGCCGGCACCAATGAAATTATTAATTGTAATTTTAAGTGCTGATTTACCACGTGCTCGGGGGGAAGGAAAACATCGTGAGGAAACCTGCACGTCCGAGAAATAAGAAAAAGAACTATTTCGAAGACATGTGAAGTTCGCCAACAGGCATTGGGGCAGCGTGGCAGACATTTCCTTGCCCTAAAACTCTTTCAGAAATGAGAGGAGGCCTGTGCCCAACAGTAGGACGTAAATAGGCTACAACTTTACTTTATGGTGAATGTAAAGAACCGGAGATCATTTTTTACTGGATACGAGTCATTCCATCTTAGTCCTCAGGGATGACAACAGAACTGCATTTTGATTCTTTATCGAGGATAGATGTAGATGTATATAGGCCACAACATCCACTTACCATCAGGTGGGTTGTGTGCTCGCTTGTCACCCTAATTCTATATTTAAAAAAAAAACTAAAAAAAGAATAGAAAAAACTGCAGCTACCAATCTACCACGATGATGAAAACATTATTAAGTTTATAGTCTATTATTTAAATATATACAAAATGTTATTATAATAAACTAGTAAAAAAGCGTGTAATGGAAAAGATACCTTTTTGAAACATTGCGTTGCGAGTTGTAGTCAATAACGAAAGCCGGACAGGACTGGAGTGCGGTGGCGCCTGCCGGTGTCTCATCCCAGCACATCCAGCCATCGAACGTACGAGGACAGTAAAGATCCGAATCTAAAAAGAATTGAAAATGTATTAAGTAACAATAAAATAAAAAGTCATAGAAGTCTTATCCCATAAAAATATAAATTTTAAATAAAAATAGTCGCTGTTGTCGGCATAGCCGATAAAATTGTTAAGGTCTTAACGGGCACCAAGTTGGTGTTGGTGAGCAATTGCTTAATTCACAGGTTGCATAGAAATTTATAAATTTCTTGAAACAGAGCTATGAAACTTGGCACCTTTTCATATTTATGATTTTTGTGTGATAATATTATTAAAAAAAAAGTATTATAATTCTATTAATAATGCATGACCTTCAACGTTTGTTTATGCGTAACAGAAACAGATTTTTTTAATTCAATAAAGATTATAAATAATGCTTATTGAAAGTCACTCTTTTGTTTAATTATCACTGGTTCGAAAAGAAACCTCTTCACTGTTTTAACCGCTTCATTTTTTTCCATTTTAAAACGCTTTCATTAGCTTCGCTTATATAATCTATCTATCTATCTATTATGCCGCCTCCACATGCTTGGTGTTTGCCACAAATACCATACACGAACAAACACCGACCACATTCAACCAACACAAACACGGCATCCACACGCTCGGCGAACGTGCTAGTATAATTCGGTTTCCGGAATATAGTGTTTTTTTTATTATTTCGAGGACATGTAAAGTCATCAGCAATTAGCTTTTTAGAAGCCAATTTAGCCTTCTCTCCCGAGTTACCACGAAACTGTACATGATTCGATTGTCAACGGCGTGAATTCCGATACTGGCGAAGACAACAAAGAAAGTGCCTTGAAACTGAGGAGATATGACAAAGGGTTTTGTCATAGTGGTAAACGCGAAAACTTGTGTCTTCTGGGGATTGGACTGTACTAGATTTAGTCGTCCCCAATCCGAGACTCGAGATCGCCTTAAGTGGTGTAGGTTTTTTGTCTGTTTCCGTTATGTATTTGTGTAAAGATGAGTGTTCTGATCAATTACGGAAGTACGCTCTGAGCGAAAGTTTGCTTGTTGTGTAAATTGTGTGTGTCTATCAGTCCACTTCCGCTTCTTGGCGTCGTAGTGTCTCTGTATGCATGATTTTGGATGATGTTTTCTGTCCCTAGTTATTATTATGTAGTTAATATAATGTATTGAGTGTGCGTTGTAGTTTTTTGATGTCAGTTTTAGACTATCGTTTAATTCCGAAAAAGTATCGTGAGAATAGCTATTGCAAATGTGTTGATATATGTGTATACATATGTATATCTAATAGTGTTTCTAGAGTTGAGGTTGGTTTTTAAGATAAGGTTGAGGTGATGTGAGAATTTTTTGAGCAGTTCTTGTTTTGTAATACTCGTATTTTGTCGAATTCGTCTAGACTGTTTAAAATCTATTTTTTTTTTATTTACTTTGTTCTTCTATTGGTTTAATCGATTCACCTGATCTGAGTGTGTAAATATCAATTAGAATCTTACCTTTTACTATCGACAATATTTTGCATTGGCTTGGTAGATCAGATGGTTAGCGCTCGCTGTGAGTTGCACAGTACGCAAGCAACCTGGGTTCGAATCCCGCCGGCACCAATGAAATTGTTAGTTGCAATTTTAAATGCTAATTTACCACATACTCGGCGGTGAAGGGAAACATCGTGAAGAAACCTGCATGTCTCAGAAATAAGAAAAAAAAAGTATTTTGAGGACATGTGAAGTTTGCCAACACGCATTGGGGCAGCGCGGTGGACACTCCCTTGCCCTAAAAGCCCTCCCAGAAATGAAAGGAGGCCTGTGCCCAGCAGTGGGACGTATATAGGCTGTAACTTTTAATATTTTGCATTTATCTACCGGAGTAGATATTTGTATGTCATCCGGAAGTGACATACAAATATCTTGAGAAAATTGTTGTGTTGTTTCCCCTAGTTGGAATAGTGCACTTTTTGTGTGCTGCATATAGCTAAACATTAATATGTCATCCATGTACATGAGGTGTGTTAGGGTATATTGCGTGTTATTGTATGTCGATGTAAATCCCGTGTCAGTGTTATTTGGTTAGTGTGAAAGTAGATTTAGGGCCATGCAAAACCACAGAAGACTTAGAGCAGTGATGCACAGGCTTATTAAGACTAGGGGCCACTCGGGCAAATTATGAACTGATGGCGGGCCGCCAGAAGTATAGGTAATTAAAGACAATAAAGAATTGATAATAATGTATTAAAATTGAAAAAGAATTTATTAATTTTAAGCGTGACACTGCATAGTGCTTACAATCTTTTTTATATTTGGCTCAAATTTACTTGTACGAGAAGCGACACGTAAAACTGCTTTCAAACTTTCATTTGCAAGGCGGTTTCGATTTTTGTTTTATTATTATTTAGTATTGAAAAGGTTTGTGTAGGTTAAAGGTTTATATAGGTAGAACCAAATAAGCTGGCACATTTCAGAGCGTTTATGCGCAACTCTTTGTACGTATTTTTATCAATGCAGCGATAAATGTTCAGCAAGTCTCCTTCGTTGAATTTGTTGCGTAAATCTTGATCATTTTGAATGTCGATAATTTCTAACTGCATTGACTCTGGCGCATTTTCAACTGAAATCGTGAAAGGATTGCTGAATATGTCCAACAGAGGTTTCACTTTTTTAAACTCCGAAAATCTGTCTTGAAAAGATTGAATCAAAACATCTAGATTTTCTACATAACTGAAATTAATAGCAGTTTTGTTGAATTTTTCAGCCATTTTCTTATAATTCGGAAAACGATTGTAATTTCCAGAATTCAATTGCGATCTGAAAAGTGTCAGCTTGCATTGAAAGGATGATACATGAGCGTAGAGCTGGAATATCAGTCGATTTTTGCCTTGAAGCCGTGTGTTCAAGACATCCAAATGACTTGTAATATCAACTAAAAAAAGCCAAACCACACAACCAATCAGGATTTTTAAGTTCCGGGACATCCCTTTGCTTTTCCGCCAGAAATATTCCAATTTCTTCTATTAAATTTAGAAATCGTTCCAGTGTCAATCCACGACTTAGCCACCTTACTTCTGTATAATACAGTAAATCTCCATATTCGCTTTCGATGTCATCAAGAAATTGTTTGAATTGCCTGTGATTGAGTTCTCGTGATTTTATGAAATTTACAGTCGAAACTACCACCTTTATTACATTTTGAAATTCAATTTTTTTAGAACAGAGGGCTTCTTGGTGTATAATGCAGTGAAACTGCATGAGATCTTCAGCGTTTATATTTTTTTCTTGCAGATGCTTTTCAGCAAAGTAACTAGCCCAGAATTGACACCAATCATCAAAGGAACACCGTCAGTTGCAACTCCCGATAATTTTGATAAGTCCAAATCAGTTTTTGAACACTCATCCAAAAGTACATTGAGTATATCAACTGCTCTGGTTTGACCTTTCAATGAACACATTCCTAATAACTCTTCTAAGACTTCAAAATCTTGAGTAACACCTCGTATGAATATTAGAAGTTGAGCTGTGGAACTAATATCAGTGGATTCGTCGAGTACTAATGAAAAAAATTCAATGATTTTAGTTTTTTCATTTAATTGTAAATTGCAATATTACCTGACAAAGACATAATTCGTCTTTGGATAGTCATACGATTCAGTTGAATTTTCTCAAACTTTTTTGCTGCTTCTGGACACATTTTCTTAGCGGCAATTTCTATGCATTCTTTTACAAAATCCCCATCATTGAAGGGGCGACTTCGCTTTGCTATCATTCGAGAAGTTTCATAACTAACTTCTGTAGCTGTTTCTGAATCTTGAATGGGTTTTGTAAACATAGCATGGTGACCAATAAGCTCCCGTTTTAAAGACAATATTTTTTGCTTTCTTAATTCGCCTGTAAACTTGGTAAAAGTACGATTCTGCGTTTCATAGTGCCTTTTTACATTATATTCCTTTGCAATCGCAACAGAATTCTTTTAAATTAAACAAACGACTTTGTTATGCGACCATACAAAAAAGTATTTCTCAGTCCAAATTTCTTGAAGCTGCCGATTTTCATCTTTAACCTTACGTTTTTTACTAGGTCCTGGCTTGTCCATGTTGCATTCTAATCCTGGCTAGGATTAACACAGCACCTAAAACAATTACAGTACCTACTTAAATTGCCCATCCTTTTTTAAATTACCAAAAATAATTGATTAAATAGGTAGGGAAACACTTATTAATAACAGAGTTTTACTTACGATTTCACAACACAATTATACACGGCACTTGACGGGAAATTTATGTTGAATGTGTTATATGTTGTTAATATGACACCGGCTAGTCGAGTTAAAATCTACACTAGAACTATTGACACTTCACTCAAATTAAAACCGAACTGTCGGTCGCTGCAGTTAGCGTGGCTTTTATACCGCGCGTATAGAGTCGGAAAATGTCTGGAGAAATCACGAAACCGACTCTGGAAGCTTCGTGTATCTACCTACGCGAGCAATAGGGAATTCGGGACTTTAAACAGCGCTGTTCAAAATAATTGCATCAATAGCAAGTTGTTCTTTACATCCTTGGCTGTTCTTATGACATGTCTTTTGTTATTCTGCTGGAATATTATTGTTGGTTAAATGTTCATATACTATTTCGCTTACGCACGCAGTTAAGATTTCGTATAATGTTTGTAGATAAGTAATTGGTCGGTATTTGGCTGAGTTTATGAGGTAATTCATGTGTTTGGGTATTATATATGTTAATCCGTGTGTTATGTATGTTGGAAGTAAATCTAGTGATTGTATGAATATGTTTAAGTGTTTATGTATGAATGGATGTATGCTGGTGAATATCTCATACCAGTAGTTGTACTTCTTTAAATGTATCTATTGGTATAAATTAAAATCACATTTCTGGAATCTTGTGTTGCTTTGTTGATCCAGTCTGCCTGATTATTATGAGATACTAGATCCTTTTTCCAAATGTTGGTCCAGAACTCCTGTAGTGTTTTGGACGAAGGTGGTTACTGGTGTATCTGTTATTTGATGTGAGGTTTCAATAAAATCATTTT